GGCAGGTGGCCAAAAGACATGCTGCTGGGCCGCCAAAGACGCAGGGAAGGGTTTAACGGCAGCTTCGGGCGCCGGGCGGGGTTTAAGGCCAGCCTAGTGCCTAACGTTGCTTTCTGAAACCAGAAGAAAATCTCCAGGAAAGCGCCCGGCAGGTGGCCAAAAGACATGCTGCTGGGCCGCCAAGGGCGCAGGGAAGGGTTTAAGGGCAGCTTAGGGCGCCGGGCGGGGTTTAAGGCCAGCCTAGTGCCTAACGTTGCTTTCTGAAACCAGAAGAAAATTTCCAGGAAAGCGCCCGGCAGGTGGCCAAAGGACATGCTGCTGGGCCGCTAAGGGCGCAGGGAAGGGTTAAAGGGCAGCTTAGGGCGCCGGGCGGGGTTTAAGGCCAGCCTAGTGCCTAACGTTGCTTTCTGAAACCAGAAGAAAATCTCCAGGAAAGCGCCCGGCAGGTGGCCAAAGGACATGCTGCTGCGCCGCCAAAGACGCAGGGAATGGTTTAAGGGCAGCTTCGGGCGTGGGGGGGGTTTAAGGCCAGCCTAGTGCCTAACGTTGCTTTCTGAAACCAGAAGAAAATCTCCAGGAAAGCGCCCGGCAGGTGGCCAAAAGACATGCTGCTGGGCCGCCAAAGACGCAGGGAAGGGTTTAACGGCAGCTTCGGGCGCCGGGCGGGGTTTAAGGCCAGCCTAGTGCCTAACGTTGCTTTCTGAAACCAGAAGAAAATCTCCAGGAAAGCGCCCGGCAGGTGGCCAAAAGACATGCTGCTGGGCCGCCAAGGGCGCAGGAGGACATGCTGCTGGGCCGCCAAAGACGCCGGGAAGGGTTAAAGGGCAGCTTAGGGCGCCGGGCGGGGTTTAAGGCCAGCCTAGTGCCTAACGTTGCTTTCAGACGCCGGGAAGGGTTAAAGGGCAGGGTTTAAGGGCAAGGTTTAAGGGCGGCCTAGGGCGCCAGGAAGCGTTTAACGGCAGCCTACTGCCTCACGTCGCTTTCTGAAATCAGAAGAAAAGGTGCCGCGAAGCCACTTTTTCTCGGGCGCGCTCCCCCTGCGGATGGCTGGGGTCGGCGGATATTACATAGTATATTTATATTACATTATAATACCTTGTGCCGCTTGGTCACTTGTTTTGAGGAAAGGACCATATTTCGTACATGGTTCATATATGAATGCCAAAATACGCCCCTTTGTTAAAAATACGGTTTTTTGGATTTTGCAGGATTTTGGGGGTTGCTCCTTCTCCACTCACCCTGCCCATTTTCCTTGCCTTTTCTTTGTCCAGCCCACTTCAAACTCTATTGCCAAGAGTCCAGGGCCCGAGCAGATGCAACACGGATGGGGTGTCACTCATAAAAATCCAAATGCTTCTCTTCTGAACTGATTCAGTTGAAAAAAATCTTACATCACAAGTCCCCGTATGCATCAAGACCCCGCAAATCATGGTCTGATTTGTAAAATTCATCCTGATAAATAATCAGTGCTCTGCAAAGCACATTCCAATGAAGACATTTGATGTTGACTCGTCTACTTAATCTGGATGGACGACCTATGAAGTCCTCCTGGACCTGGTTGGTGAACACTATGGTGTTCACCACCCAGGCCCCTTTCTTGCTTTCAGTCATCAAACGTTTTGCCTCATGTGAAATCATATGCCCTTTAGGCAACATTGCAAAACGCCGCAGCCTGAGCTGCAATGTCAAACGGGCACAAACAGTGTACTTGGCCAAAAAGAAGTAAAGGAAGCCGCTCAGCCTCATCGCGTCAGCAGCCCTAATCCAAAAGCCAGCTTGGTACATGAAAGTGATCGCAATGTTGATCGCCTTGGTCGCACCTGCCTTGGTATGCACACTGGATGATAAGCATGTACACGAATCCACCCCACACCCCTTAGAGATCTTAGAGGCAGCAAAAAAAACAAATGCCTATATACTTGAAACTTTGAATCGAGTGACAATGGCATGCAAGAGCGGATGTGACTCCTCAGTCACCTTTCCTCTAATGTGCTTTTCACAGAAAAAATCTAGGAAAAGTGAAAGTTCCGTAGAGACTAAAGCCTTGGACCACCGTCCGACTGGTGCAGCTGTGCTGGCAGGGAATGACATGCTGTCACGAGAAATTTCAGCCAAGAATGGTGTAACATTCCGATCACGATGGAACTTCACATACATCTCCGTCAAAAACTCAAACCGCTTTTCAACAGATCCTCTAGGTAAGATCTCCAAGTCGGATTCTACGATCGCCACCAGTGCAGAAGCTAAAAAATGTTTTGACATCCCTAAATGCCAGTTGTGCCAAAAGTCACTCTTGAAGAAATCCATTTGGTCAGTAGGACTCAATGGCAAGCCCTCAAAAATCTTTGGAGGACAGTCAGGAGCCCATGGCACTTCCATGTAGATGGTCGCCGTCCAAGCAGCATCTGGTCGGAAATCTTCATAGGGAAAACTTGGGTTGCCTTCCCTTCCACCAAGGCACAGGTGGCAACATCCTTCACTGGGTTTTCTAGATGAGGACTGTCGTGGGACATGAGACCAACATCGATGGAACCCGCCCATTTTTTGAAGCATTGGCAAATCAGCTTTGAAACCCATGTGGGCTAAGTAAACACGATCCCGCCCATTGGCTGCAAGCACACCCTCAAACAAGAGCTTCTTCACATCTTCAGCATAGATGCTGGTCAATTCGTCCAAGATATTCGGATACTGTGTGTAAACAGTCTTGAGAACCGTGGTGAAAATAAACTGGGTCGTCCAAGTCTTTCCCATGAAATTTGCACCCATAGCATTTTCATGCAATGGCAGCCTGTGGCGATTGGAATCAACATGCATCCTCGTCCCCCTCCCAATGCAACCAGCACTTGAAAGAATCCAAATGCCAAGGTGTTTGTAGCTTCGCCCATCATCGGCATGGGAGAAGAAGGGAACAAGGTTTTCAAAAGGAATCCCATGACGTTCAGCATGACCGAAGTACCCATGGTCAGGATACAAAACACGAAATCTAGCCCACCACTCCTTCAACACCAATCTCATCTTTGCAAATGTAGGTACACCAACGAGAAGTTTGGGAAGTCGGCCACAATCTAATAGGTACTTCACCCATGAAGACAGCAAGATGTACGGAATGGTGAACCCTGGTCTCACTGTGAACTTGCCCACTGGCACTGTACATTCAAATCCTTCTTCTTTCAACAATTTGTGGACTCCTTTTTCAGCATCTTTCAAGCGAATAGCTGCTAACTTTCTCATTCCCAAAGTGGCACGTGGGTTGTTTCGGACCTCTGCCTGCGCCAGCTCGACGATGTGTTTGGAAGGGGCCTCGGCCGACAGAAAAACCAATGGCTGGAACTTGTGAAATGAGAGGAGAAAGGGAATGAAAGTGGGTTGACCTACTTCTAAAACTTTTCACATGAAACAAATCCCTGAAAGCAATAAGAGTCTGCAAAATGGATGGAAACTCAGTCATTGCAGTGAGCACGCAAGTGCATGCACCATTTTTCTCAAAGGCCAGCAACACAGTCACCCCACCCAACGGTGTTGGTCTGCTCGGGCTCCTACTATGTAAGCATAGTACGGTCCTGGAGGAACATCCTCTCGATTTAGATACCCCTCTCCACCACTTCCCTTTTTGTTTCTGCACCCCACATGGAGGCAGTACTGGCAAATCAGAGCAGCTTCGAGCATATGAATCAAATCAATGCTTGTAGATGTAGCTAAAAGCCACATCTCTGTATACCCTTTTTCATGGTAACTTTGGTATCTCAGCAACGGATTGTGGGTGACCCCAATTTTGAAAACACAAAGTCGGATTCCAATTTTGCTTCTGAAGCAATCCACTTTGTGGGTGCAGTGGGCCAAAAGTTTTCCACATGTTATCTTAGATGCGCCAGTCCGCACGCAATGGCTCAGGAGGCCAAAAGGCCGTACAGTCTCCCAGTCAAAGGTTGAAGCATCAAAGTCATCGGCAAGCTTAGCCAAATCCTTTGTGGACAAGTGGGTAAAACATTTAAATGAGGTTTGTTCACAAAAGGGTTTCAAGTCTTACTACTGTATTTTTGCAGTATGCAAGATCCCCAAAACTGATGATATAAGGATATATGATATAAGAAACCAAAGGAGGGAATCACTTCGTTACATGGATTGCCATGCGCCAAGCGGCCATCTTGGACGATCTGGCAGGACCCTTCACCCGGGCGCTTGCTTCCCCAGAATCCCCGGTAATTAAATCACGGGAGAAGTACTCCATGTAGCCACTTTCATCACCAGTGTTTGTCCTTAGCGAAATATGGGAGCGCAATCTTGAAAGATTTGTTTAACACCATTGTGGGGATGTGGTTACATGATTGTTGAACAAAAACGCTTTTGGAAGTATGCCACATTCAGTCAAAGAACGGGTTCTCTGCAGCACCCAAGGGATCATCAATATGGGGTCTGATTGATAGCACTGGAGGTGGAGTTGATGGAGGTAGCATACTACCAGTCTCACAGGTAGGTTTCAATCTCCTCGGTTCCATGGACAAAAAGACTGCATTTATTGAATGTTGGAAATTTGAATGGTATGCTCTGAACATCTCTCAACCACTACAGCCATGACACTTCCCATGTTCCGTTTCAACAGTGCCAAGTCCAGCAACCCGCTTGGCACCGGTAAAGGGGCACTCATAGGACAGCAAACTTTCAAGCAAGTCATCATCCATTGCCATGAGGGACACTTCATGGAATGGTCAGAACATGGGATAAGTTTTACCATGCTATCTATGATTTGTTGAATGGGGCATGGGCCTCCATATGTTTTCAAGAACCCCTACTGTAGATACCATGATTTACACCACTTAAACTCAGAAACATTTATATAGATTGTTTCAATGCCTGCTGGTGTGCCTGTTGATGTCACTTTCCAACAGTTGAATCCACAATACTTTCAAAGAGCCAAAAGGACGAGTTGGAAAATAGATTGATCATGAGCAATCCTGGTTGGAATCAATGTGAGCGCTTGTTCCTGGAATGCCCAGTTGGGGTCCCCAACGCCATTGCCCACGAGTTTGGCACACCGCATCAGGACTTCATCCAAATCATTTTGTCCTCTATGACCTGGCATCGCATGGAGTTGGGTCGCTCAGCTAGGTGAGGGGGACACCTCACAGGGTTCAGGTTGAAGGTATTATGGGCACAATCCAACTATATCCAACTATGCAGGCACATGTTCAAAACTTGATAAAAAGGGTTTGAGAAAAGCACAGGCTGTGTTTTTCCGCTTCTTTTGTCAACCTGTAGCACGAACACAGTGTTCCTAAGCTACTGTAAGACCGTAAGACTCATTGCCATGCCAACACATGTTCCGCACATGTTGGGAATCAAACAACATTTTTTCAAATTGTGCACACTTGGCACAGGAAAACCCAGAAGTGCGGTTTGCCCTAAAGGGTCATACCCTTGCAAACCAAACACACACGCACACGCACACACGCGTGTCAAAAACTGAGCGTCGTTCGAATGACACTGCAAGCCAATCCCAAGAGTTTCGACACAATACATTGTATTGCATCAGCCCTCGTTCTTGGTCAGGTTCTTGTGGACATTCCTGAGCAAATTGAATGGTAGTGGGGGATTAGTGGGGGTTTAGTGGGGGATTAGAAATACAGAGGATTGCATCAATGCCCGATATCCCAATTACATCCAATTACCATGGCTGTTTGCTGTAACATCATTTGATACATGAGATTTTCTCGGAATTAGTTCTTGCAGCTAAATGTCTTTGCGGCCAACTCAGCTGTGGTCACCTTGCTGCACCTGATAGCCATGGCCGGCCGTCTGAGGAACCTTTGGAAATGCAGTGGGAAGGTGATGATTGACGACAAGGCACTTGAGCGTAGTAGATCGCATTTGGTCCTGGATTTTCTTCAGCAGCCTCAAAGAGAATGAGCTGAGATGAATTGAGAACTAGTTTGAACAACCCCAGTTTACATGGTACACACTGTGAAGGGCACATGGGAAAAATTCATATACCCACCAATGGTGAACCTTTTGAATTTGAGTTGGACGAGTAACACCGTCTCATCGGCACATTTGCCCGATTGCAAGGCCGAAGTATCAACCTTGACCACTTCACAGGCTTCAAACTCAGTCTCCAAAGTGGAGATGGCGGCTTCCAAGTTGGACACCGACCTTGGATAAAATCTATATGCAAAAATGGGGGGTTTCACTGTAACAACCATTGCCTTCATATTTTTTTAAACATAAGAGGACTATATATTGGATTGATGGGGCAGGGCTCTGCCACTGAGGGGCTTCGCTACACGAGCTTTTTCGGGTTCCTTGTCCCCCACTGCAGCCTCCAACATCCCGATCAAGTCAGCAAGTTTCTCACCTCTCTTAAGCAAGCTTGCTGTGAAGGTGCAGAACTTCAGATACTCCTACAAAGCCATTGGGATTGTAAATTGAACTAAGTTGGTTGAAAAAATGGCAGATATGATGATGTGCTGTTTGAAGCCGACATACGGGAATATATCAACGAGACTGGTAAACACACACCATTGGCACGACAGTTTTTGATTCCACATTCAGTTCAAACCAATAACATTCTCCTTCTTGGCCGTGTTGATTTGTTCAGCTTTCTTTTCATCCTCATCCAGGTCTTCCTCAGACTCTGAACCCTCCGTCACTGCACCCAACCTTTTGAAGGTCACATCTTCGCCCACCTGAGGCAGTGGATGAGTTTGGCGGAACTTGGCCCTTCAGCTGGCGACTTCTGCTGAGGAGGCATGAAGGGAGATGGGAAACCATGGGAACAACATGAACCTACCCCAGACCTCATGGTCACACGTTTCATTCTTCTCCTCATCCTCACTCAGCTCATCATCTTCCTCTCCATAGACCACATAGTATTTGTGGATCTTTTTGTTGTAGCGGTCCTTCCTTGAATCTGGGCTGTCAATAAAACAATGCATAAGGGAAACACATCCAAACATATGAGTGAAACATTGGGATTATTTCTGGCAGCGATATCGCAAAGTTGAATTCTCCAAAAGAGGCCTGTCTCACAAAGTGATATATTATTCCAAGATTTGGTGGCATTACTACATATATATTTGTTTTCATACGATCTTATATATGCATTGTAATTGCCACAACTTATTTGCAAGTTAGGGTCTTCACCAAGCGCTCGTTGCCAGGTTTCTCGCAGTACGCCACCACACTCTTGATGTACGTCCTTGGCTGGGCAGGCATGGGGATGGAAGTGGAATATGTTGGGATACCTGTGCTATATGTTATGTTTTGGAGGTTTGAGGTAATCACAAACACAAGCAATGTGAACTGGTATTTTGATATTTGCATATTCACTTGACTATTTATGATTGTTTTCAGATTTAAGGCTAGAAACGAGCTCCACTTGAGTACGGTATTCATGGTCTCTTTTGTGAACCAACCCCTCTTCTTCTTGCGAGTCAACTTGTTGGTCTTGGTGATGGTCTTCGTAACCCGGGAGACGAACAAGTCCTGGAAGAAACATGCCAAAACAATTTGAAACACCCCTGGGAGAATCCAGAATGATTAGGGAAAAAACATAAGTACCATTCCAAAGTAACATGCTTTGGTAAACTGACTGGAACTTGTTTTTTTCGAACAAATGGTCCTTCGACCAGTGTGCTGCCTCCAGTTCTTCAACTAGAGCCTCCCTGTCTTGCAAAGAGCCATGCAACCACCGCTTGTGTAACTCTTCCGGGACATGGCATTTCCCCGAAGGTTTCTTTTCGCACAAACGTCGAAGCCTTGCCAGTTTGGCTGCTTCAGTAGCGGGTGGATCTTTGCCCTGGGTGCGTGCAACTTCGTTGGGGTCAAGTCTTTTCTTCAGGTCAACCTTGACACCACTAGCCCCTTTTGGAACCTCTGTCTCCTTCGACTTGCTCTTGGGAGTTGGCCCATTCACAGTTGGGGGTGGTGTCTGAAAAGCACTAGCACTCTTACCCTTCCCTCCAGCCATCAAAACGTCCATTTGCTCCTGCATTCGCTTGTTGGCCTAGCGGTTGGGGGGAAAATATGTGATCACTAGAGACAGAAGGTTGGCAGGTATAGAGGGAGCCAGGTATACTTTGGATATATTTGAATATATGTCGTTGTATAAAGTACCAACACCACAGGGGGGGGTTGACTTGGAAATTTGGGCTCATGTTTTTTAATAAAAAAAGATGAACCGAACTTGAACCCCCAACATGCAGCAAATTATGGAAATAACTACATGCATGCATGTTTAGCATGTGCTAGCAATGCCTCCATCAAGTCTTGAATCATTTGTGCTTGGTCACGTTGTCCGGACCCTGATGATGCTGTGTCATGATCATCTGGCTCATGCTGCTTGCCCCTCACACGCTTGGTGGGTGCTGGGTTTGGAGTCCCCTTTGCTGGGGGCGATGGCTGTGGTGATGGGGGCGCTCTGGGCTTGCTCTTTGCAGCAGCTGGCTTCGGTTTTGCTTTCGCTTTTGAACGGGCCTGTTTCAACTCTTCTGGAGTTGCCTTAGGTATTGATGAACAGGTTTGACTGAGTAATTTAGGATGATAACATGTGTGTTCCCACCTGAAACATCCAGTGACTATGTGCCAAGAGACCGGTTGCGTATCCTGGTCAGCAATGGAAGCTTCCTTGGATTGCCCCAGCGTTCCACATGCTAAACACACATGTGCATGTAAACTCTTTGGCCATGTACAAAGGAATACAGTACAGTATAACTCAATCATAAAATTGATTCGGGGTTCTGATGATGGGCTAGTCGTTGCTGCCATCTTCTTCATTCGGTTCAAGGCAGCTTCATATTCCTGAACGGGTGGAAGACAAGTTTAGATACATTCAACACGTTCAACACTAGTAATCCAACAGTGATAGCAGGTAATCCTTTCAACATGAAGGAAACAGATGTGAATACGGTCCTTGATCTGCTTCTTCAGTTCGTCCTCACTTTCTGCCTCCTTTTTGATGGCTAGTAACCCTTCATGTCCTTCCTTCAACTCACTACAACTAAAGGTTTTAGAAGCTATCTGCCGAGGGCGTTTGCCCGCCATTGCTGTCAGGCACCTCCACCACGACTGTTTGAGCCTGGAACCCTGGTGATGGCAGGTGAGGGCAGGATTTTTGAGCTAAAACCACCCAAAATCTCCTCAAAACCCAGAAATCCACAAATAGCTGAATTACGGGAAAAATACGTAAAATTTTACGGGTTTTTACGTCCCTTTACGGGCAAAATACGCCCCTTTTACGGGTTGGGATTCCGGTACGTATCCGGTACGTATTTTTCCCGTAGAAAGTACGTATTTCCAGAAATCATCAAAAATTCACTAATTTCACCCATTTCGACCCAAAAATGGAGTATTAAAATATCAAAAAATCATATGTTTTCAACATTTTGGCATAACTGGCTCATCCAGACATGTATGAAGAGCTAAACGGCATGCAACAGAATGTGTGTCAGATCAATCCTCTCAGCAACCTACTTTTCTAAGGGTCATGCACGCTATGTACCTCTGAAACCAGAAGCTATCATTCACCATGACGCCTATGGCAGATCATGGGCTTAATTACGGCACCCTTTGGTTGTTTCCCTGAAGCATTGTAAAAAAAGGATAAATATGGGTATCAGAAATCAAATTGCTAGTAAGTAGAACTTGTTGTCCCCGGGGCACCTTGATACCTTTCAAGTGCATGAAACTAAGTTCAGTGGGGAATAAAGGCCTCCACTCACCAAGCTCCAAATCTTTAGAAGCTCGGAGATAATAGATAACACTTTTCATACATGCATCATCCCACCAGTCATTCCACTGGCAGTTTTCAAAAATCTGGTAACCATCGACAGGGCCAGCAGGCTCAGGGAGGGCCACCCGCTTAGTGCAAAAGCGCTTGTAGAGCCGGGCAATGCGTTGTCCAAAGCGTGGTGGGTAAGTCCTGAGCTGGAAGCATTGGTCTTGAACCTGCAACTTCCTTTAAACACCCAACTAGATAAATATATATATGTAGTTTATTTCCTTCAACACATCAATACTCATATCTACCAAACAGAAAGGGACCTGAAGTTTCAAGTCAAATGTCTGTGTTCCTTTCAAAAAGCGAGTGCCATGAAATTTCTTTTCACCCCGCTTATTGCGATAGGAACGGGCGGTTGGCTGTGAAGTAGCCTTTTTTTGCATTGCCCGAGTCATGTGTCCGAGGTCTAGGCATTGTACTGTAGGGGCATTGCTCCATGCTACATGCCGTTTGGGCGACACATGTTTGTACAATCCCATCCACCATGCCGCTTGGAAGACCTTCAGGGCAAAAAACAACTTACTGTAATCCCATGCGTACTAAATGCCGAAAATGATAATAGATATGCTTTTGTGGCCCCAAACACAGTAGCACCCTTTTGTGAAACAGGGGAGAAGTATCATCTCAGAAGTGTTGACATTTGGAGTCTTTTATGAAACTTTTATGAAATTGGGAAGGACATTGATGAAAATAACTTTTGAAATGCGCTTAGATGTTTGGCCTAAGATTTAAGACACATAGCCATTGTAAGAGTTAGGTAATTCTCGCATCAATATTGGGGCCACCCTGTTTTGGGATGCAAGGCAAACCAACATATGTATATAATAAATGATGACCCTAAATTGCCCCAGGAACTTGGGATACTTAGACTAGTCCGTGGTGGAATTTGCTTATGGAGCTGTAAGAATGGATTACACTTTTCACTTGGCATTATTACCGATTGCAATGTCCCAACCCACCTTGTAACAGAGCATCAAACCCATAAAAACTTGATCCCAGATCGGATTTAAATATATGTGGTTAAATTCCTGTTGGTGAGGGCGAGGCTTTACAGTGCAACCCCAACCTTTGGTAGAGCCCTGAACAGCTCAACGATTCTGGGATGCCAACCCAGTTGAGAGCTGCGTGGTTGCTCTAGCACAAAACAACCCCCCATAGCGACTATGGCCCAGATCAGCAATGCTGTCCTCGGATCACAGAGCTGCGGATGGAAACAAGCCATATCATAACTTGAAAATACTTGAAACATTTTTTGGGGAAATAGCGGCATTTCAAACAGATACATTCCCTGAGAGAGAAGTATAACTGATAAGCCAATATAATATGTTTCTAACCCTTAGTGAATGTGGCTATGGTACCATATATCCCTGTACCACTAGGATAACCATTTTAAGGGCCCATTCCATTATGATTTTACGGGTTACATCTGGTTTGGCTGAGACTCCTTGATGCCAACTGGTTTCCTTCAAATACCATTTTGACACCTTCTCGGCCAAGGGGAAAAAATGGTGCTCGACAATGTGTGCCCTGACTTATTGTCACAAAAGAGCTGCATATTAAGCCAATCACCACCAAAAAGGAATCCATTCGACAGTTGAGCACAGTTAGCAACGCCAACCTTTGATTGCCAAAGTGTAAAGGTGAAACCACAGATGGGCTATGCATCCCCAATTTCATGTTAAAAATGGGGCCCAGCTAAATCTAAGAAAAATCGCATATTATATATACCCAAAAAAACGCAAAGCCGGAGTCAGATAGGAGGTCCATCGCATCCTGCTTTTTGAGGTCATCATTGGGTCGCCCAAGGGAAATGTCCAACATAGCAGTGCGATGCCCAGCTGTCCTCATGCACCGACTTACCCATGCCTGTCCACAGAACAGCTCGGCAAAGTCGTAGGACTGAGCCGGGGCTGATTTGGATAGTTTTGATATTGTAAGTCGTGGGGTATAGCAACTGAATCCGCCAAAACATGCCCCAAATATAATCTTTAAATTGACCATTACGCGTTTTTTGGTATCACAGGGTTATATAGGGTTACAACCACACAGGGTACCTTGAGTAAAGGACATGGACATTTACACTACACCCGCAAGGTCATGGGGTATGATTTGAAACTAAGATGGTTTTGGATTAAGAAATTTGTCAACACTTGATGAGCAGTGGCCCCAACGATGTCGGCTGGCCTCTGTAAAAGTTGATAGACCACTGTTCAGAGCCAACAGGACAGTGCATGCCATCAGCACCTCATCCAGGGAAAGAATGTCAGAGAAACCATTGTTGTTTTATTGCATGTATGATATTGTATGGAACCACGTTGTTTTCAAAAAAAAGTGGCCTTGGGTGCCCCAAGAATCTTCATTCTGTGGAGAACTGTGTTCAACTTGCATCGCTTTGTAGGATCCATGGCAGCAAGGGTTCCTAATCAAAATGCCACCTCTGAGCTGAGCATGAAAACCTTGCTGTAAATCGGGCGGGTGCTGCTAGACCAACCCACGAGTGAATTCCACACATTCCCAAATAGCTCCTGATTCCAAATGAACCCCATGCATCCCAAATAATTCCTGCAAATAAATGATATGGTTTTTCAAATACAATTCGAATTTGAAAACACGATATCACTGCATGGGAAAACTATTTAATAAAGCCAGTTTGGCCAACCAAGTCAGCAATCCCGATGTTCTGAGGATCCATGGCTGTGGTTCAACCAGCGTTCAACCTCAGCAGCATGCTGGTGAGAGGAGACATCAGGATTGGGTAGCCCCGGGGTTGCGCTGGCGTTGGGCACATATATATGGATCATAACCACATTATATAACATTGATCAAAATAGGTGGTTTTCACTACAGTGGAAATAGGATACCAATACTTTCATGTATGGTTTCACGTAAACCTTTTGGCAAGTTTCAGATCCAACTTGATTGATTGCCCCAACATGTTCCACCTATTCCCCATAGTCTCAGGATCCAAATGCCAGATTTCTTGGTGATAAAGATTGATGAATGAGAAAACAATTGTGCATTACTTTGTGCATCTTTGTGAAAATAGTGTATGTGTGTGTGCAGTGTGGCACAACTATGACCGTTCCAGCACCTTTTCCAAAAGCTTGGCAACAACGGCGCATGGTTCAGCGGAGTAGCTGGCGATGAGCACAAATGAATACAGCAAAAGCCAACTAATTCATTTTCAAATGCCAAAAGAAGCTTGTGGTTTTCGGTTGTCCAACCAGCATCCCCCAATATCATGATATCCGCTGCGAGAGCTTCGGAACCCTATTGTCGATCCCCAGACTTTCTTTCATGTGGAATGGTATGCACTCCACAGTCAAATGATGAAATTATCGGCCGCATTCAGGGGCCAAAAGATCTTTTCGATCACGTTCAGATAGATCCAGCCAGTCTGAAACTACCACACATAATAAGATATGATTCTAAAACCCAGTTGCTAACAAAATTGGTTTGGTTTTTACACAATCTGTTGGAATTACTCGCCCAAAAAAAAGCAGCAGCAGTCGACAGCTCCGTGGAAGGCTGGACCTATGACCTATGGCGCATCACGCTCAAGCTTCGCCAAGTACTCAGTTGCTGCCTCGCTGGACAACATTGGGAGGTTGGATTCATCCATCTCATACTGCTTCTTCGCCCACCAGTCGCCGGCAAACTTCCAGAAGATATCCTGGCAGGGGATGGTCATAAATTTAGAGGGTTATCTTTTATAATTGGGATCGATACATCGGGTGTGACATAATAGTACTACAGGGATTTATGTTCAATGGATTCACGCTGGGATATTCGATTTGAAAAACAAGATTTGCAATGTTCGAAATCTATACATGTTTCATGGTTTCAGAATTTCCTAATCACCACAAATAAATCTGGCCAGGGTTGCCCCAATTAACCTAGTTCCTTCATATATTGGGATGGGCTATGATAAGAGAAACAAAAACATAAGATACCATAAGCATATAGTATTGCTTTTGTTGGAAAAATGCCAGGGAACCCATGCAAAGAAATGCTTGATATATAGAGCCCCAGCAAACTATCCCCCATAATGTAAGAAACATAGAACATGTGAAAGCAAAGGAAAGCATGCACAAATAGTGAGGAAACAGTCCTCATGCTTGGAGGGGGCCTTCACGAAGGCACGGATCCGGTTATTGAAAACATCTCTGAGAGCAAGCCACCTGGCTTTGCCAAAACTGGTAGTTGGCTGGGCTCGGCGGGCAAAAGTAGCAGGTTGGGTCTTTGCCTTTTTGGCGGTCTGGTCGGCATGAATGGTCTCACAAGTTTTCTTTTTGGCTGCAGCCTTCTTGGGGGCAGGTTCGGCATTCTCCGGGTTTGCCTTTCTTTTCTTGGGTTTGACTTCATCTGGCTGGCTTCCCCCAGATCCTCCTGCAACCCTGTGTCCCCCAGCAGCCTGACGTTTTTTGCTGTTAGGTTTGGCAGGTGGCTTGTCCTCCTTCTCTGGCTCTACCACCTTTTCACTTTCCCCCACCATGTCAAGGTTCTCAGGGCCTTTGCTCTTGTCAGGGTTCTCAAGGCCGGGGGGGTCAGAAGGGGCGCTATCATCAGGAACCTCAGTGTTGGCAACACTTGCTTTCATCTCAGCATCCTCGGACTCATCATTTTTTTTGGACTTCCTACTCCTTGCCTTTGCCTTCCCTTTGCCTTCCCTTCTGCCTTGCCTGTCACCTTTCCCTTCCCCCTTCCTTTTCCCTTCCCCTTTCCCTTCCCCTTGGTTTTGGGACCTGGCTTGCTTGGCCCGGCATCCCCCTCCCCTTTTCCATCATCTCCATCATCGGCTGACTTGAGTGCAAGTTGAGCCCGTCGCAGAACCTGGGCCAAAGAAATGGGAATGACCAAAAACAGTAAATTAGCCTTTTACCAGAAATGTTTTGTTTCAGCTTGTGTTTCTTTGTGGTCACTGCAAACAGGTACGCAAACTTAGAAAAAGCCAAAAGGCAGGGGGGGCAGGGGCAGGAGAAATGTCATCCATCTTCTCACCATCAAGCTGGAAGCTCTGAAAGTCTTTGGCCAAGTCATCTAGTTCACCTGGTGCTAGCTGTAGGGTCTCCTGGTTGTCCCCACCAAAGCCCAAGCTCTCAATGACTGGAATCGGCACTTCCTGGGCCTGGTCCAAGGAGTTCCTGGCTCTCCTCAGCTGTTTGTATAGTGGGCGGGATTATGTGGCCAAAAAAGGTAAACACGGTGTTTTGTCAAAATCTGCGCAAGGTTTCCCAACAAGTATATACGTTGTGGTAAAACTTTTAAAAAAAACAGGTTGTGGGGACCAAAAACAAATTTATTATATAACATGTTTTGATGTAAAAAAAATGCATCAAACTATAGTCATTGCATAAGTTTCTCAGCACAGTTCTTCTTCTTTGTGAGCGCTAGCTGAGCCTTGAGCTGTTTGAGCTTCTCTTGATAGCTTGCGATGGTAGCTGCTTCAGGGTCCATGGGTTCGGAAATCACACTTTTCTTGGGGGTGGTGTCATCATCACTGATCATGACGATGGCGTGCTTGTCAATCACTCCACCTTCATCGCTTGTCATCATCTTCTCATCTCCCAAAGTCATGTTCACTTCAGGGCTTTCGGGCTGGGAACAAGGGATCTCATCATCAAAAATCGATGTTGGCAATGGATCATCATGCATGTGCGGTGAAGATTTGGCTACATCACCGGGCAATAGTGAACCAAGGGCATCAGCACCATCAACCTGTGAGTCTGGGACCTCACCTGTGGGTTGGAAAGCACTGTCATCATCATCATCATCATCATCATCATCATCATCATCTGAATCCTCATCCCCAACCACCATCTCCTCGTCATCCTCCTCGTCCTGAGTGTCGTTCATCTCCACGTCTGGCAAAGGTTCCTGTTGGAAAAGTGGAAGGGTCTTGGTTTGGGAGATGAAAAAACATGAGGTGAACATATTTTACTGTAAACTACAAACTTGTGTTTTGTTTTCATCCCTTAAAATGAGCTGTAACATGTTGTAACATATCGTAACACATTGTGAATTGTAGCATGTTGTAACATATCGCAAAATATTTCCCCAGGTTCTCCTGCCCAGACGGATCAAATACCAGAGCCATCAATCGTCGAAACAATTTGGATCGGCAAAGTTGGTCTCTTTGCAATTTCCGTTTGATGAGCACCGTAAATTTCTTTGCCAATTTGGCCTCTAGCTTCAACAACTTGGCGGTGGGGGGAGGCACCATCATCTTCTCATAGAACTTGACCATCCTAGCCAGTAAAAGGGGATGCCCCACAAAAACAGTTAACATACAACAAAACAAAAAACAATACAAACAAATGAAACAAATAAAACTTGAACTGCTCAACCAAAGTATGTTGAACAAAATGTAGAAATGCAGCAAAAAGTCTGCGTTTTGATGGCTGGGATTCTGAGCTGTCCCACATTCCCATCCTTGTCTAGAAGACGTTTGGCTAATGGCTCGAGGACATGGAAATTCCTTTCACCACAGCTCACCGTGATCTCAACATCATTGGATCTAGCAGCAGGGGCAAAAAGAGATCCCTTAATCCTTACATACTCCCTGACATACTCCGATGCTTCCCACTCTGCACCCACACCGTCAAGGGATATCGCCATGGTTCACCCTGTGTCAACACTGAATACTCTTGAGCCAAGAAACCTTACGCATGCTGGTAGTAAACCCCATGGGAATGACAAAAAATGCAAACCTTTAATTAATGATGATGGCTTATCATAATTTGCACCCCTTTATATACTGATTTTTTGCAATTTCTATACGATACAAGCTTTCAGGGTGAGTTGGTTTATCAGCACCTTCTGTTGACAGACATTTCTATCATCCTGCCGTACTACTGTAGTAGAACCCCAAGATAATTGAAGCAACCCTGGCCAATTGTAATGATCTAACCGCAAAAATATCCCAACATATATCTCTAAAGAGCCCCAAAAGATGGACATGACCCAATAGATGTTTGATTTAGAACAAGTTTGCTTTGATGATATAAGCCATTGTTTCAAGTACCGGAAACTTACTTGGTTTGGCTTAAAAATCATGTTACATTGGCTTTACCCCATTGACCTCATCTTCCACCAACATCGGAGCTGGCCTCAAAAGCTGAGGCCCCAGACGTGCTCTCAAGAGCTTGTCCACCGTGGGAAAAAAGATTGCTCTGCCGTTGGCTGGGCCATGGGATCTGGAAAGATCTTGGAATATACAGTAGCTGGGCCTATAGCTGATTCATAGTTCATGCCCAATGGGATAAGTTCTGGCATTACCTCTGTTATGTTACTCTTATGGGTATATTCCGGATTCCAGACCCATGCCATTGGCCAAGGAATTGGTTCGGGCCACATCTGATGGTGCCCCACAAGTTCAGGGGATAAACCCTATAAGGTATAGAATCATTAAGGAATTCTTGGAACACACAACAAATGGTTTTATGAGGGATGTAATCCACATTCATGTACACAGATAAACCACCAGAATGACCAAGAGGGAACCCTCTTAACAAGTACTATGTTAAGAATACGCCCCTTTGCAGAAATACGGCCGTTTGGTAAATTTACAGGTTTTTTAATGAAGGGATGTAAAGTTGATACGGCCTCTAAATTTGAAGGACATTTAGGCCCCAGGTATATATATATATATTACATTATTTACATTATATTTATTTTATATATTATATATAATTATATATTGCCACGAGTGTTGCCTGCACAGCAGTCTCACGGGTTTGTGCACACACCGCGGCGTTTTAGCTTCAACTCTTTTGGGTGGCCTGCGGGCCTGCGGGCCGGATTTTTCTTGGGAGGCCCGCAGGCCAGTGAGGTGAGGAACCATGGCCTGAGGGCCGGACCGGTTCCTCAATGCCAGACCCACAGTCCACCTCTTCGAAAACCCGGACTTCTTTCAGAGCTTCGAGGTGGAGAAGGGGACCTACCTGGAGGCCGTGCTCTACGATGAACGGCACGGCGGGCAAGGAAAAGGACTCTGGAGGATCAATGGGTCCGAACAAAAGACAAAAGATGGGGTATGGCTGTCGGCTAAGCTCATCGCCGTGAGCGACGCCCACTTGTACGGGTGGCTCACTGAAGGGCCGGGAGAGGCCATGAAGAGGAACTTCAGGCTTCACCTTTGCATCACGCCTGAGAAGGATTGCCCGAAGTGTAAAAAGAAGAAGGATGTGGAGTTCCACACTGATGACTTTCGTTCCCTGGATGCTGGGGACGTGGTTGATTCCAAAGTGGGCTGGCTCAAGTCGCCCCCAGCCCAAGATGATGTCGAGGTCGAGGTGGCGAAACTCACAGGCAACGCCCCGCGGGGCACATGTGGATGACACAATCACTGGGGCAAAGGCCCTACCTATGATCGAGCCATTGCAGCGTTGCGCAGCAGGTTTCCCTTTCGCAAATGGCGGCAGGGACAAGTGAATTTCTTGGAGTTCAGTATTGTCAGGATCCTGTTACAAAAGAGATCTCATATCACCAGAAAGATCACCTATCAAGCTGTCCAAAGAAAGAGCACGCCAGCATTGGCAGCCTGCCACTGAGAAGGAAATCTCTGCACTGAGAGCCGTGAATGGAGCTCTAGGTTGGTTGTCCAGTCAGTCCAGACCGGGTTTGTCGGTTCAAACTTCGTTATCTCAGCAATGTTTTCCCAATCCTACGGTTGAGCACCTTCTTCAAGCAAATCAGGCCGTAAGGCGAGCTCGACAACATAGTGATTTGGAAATCAGGAAATCAAAGTTCCCTACATCAAACCACAGGATTTGACCGTTTGTTTTTGGTCTGATGCAGCCTTTGCAAATGCAGTCAATCATAAAACACAAGGTGGTTGGTTGATGGCCCTCACAGATAAAAAGTTTGCCGATGGAAATGACAGTCCGGTGAGTTTTGTAGGCTGGAAGTCATACAAGCTGCCCAGAGTAGTGTCCTCGACCTTAGCAGGCGAAGCACAGTGCTTCTCCAGTGCATCAGGCATAGCTGAGTGGTGCATGCTAATTTTGTCAGAGGCTCTGGATGGTTCGTTTTCCCTGCAAAATGTTGACGAGGTGTTGCAACGTCGCAGTCCAATTGGCATGAGTGATTGTAGGTCTCTTTACGATCACTTAATAACACTGGGATGTGGAGGAACCCTAGATGACAAGCGTGTTGCCATAGATGTTGCAGTTATCCGTCAATCCATAGCTCGCAGTCGCCTTCAACCCCGTTGGGTGCCAACGGATAGAATGGTTGCAGACGGCCTCACCAAGGACAAGGGAGAACCTTTGGATCTTTTGAGGTCAGTCTTTAGGAATGCCCGATATCAACTAGCTGATGAGAAAGAGGCGCGCATTCGAAGACAAGAGCTTGGACGTGCCAGAAAGGAAAATAACCAACAACAGACACGCCATGTGGAAGATTCAGCCGAGCCAGCAAATGCATGTCTTTTTGTTTGGTGAGTGTTTTTGGAAACCGAGTGAATGTAGGTCACTGCTTTTGGCAGTGTAATGGTAACATTCCTGCGGGTTTGGTGTTTCCTGCAGCAGGCCAAGTGAATTCATTGTGATCGTCAACACAGAAGATTTGCCAGTTTTGATGCATGTCCATGTTTTCCAATGGACGCCAGCCTTTTTCCAAGCTCCGTGTCTGAGATTTTTAGGTAGAACCGAGCCACGTTTCAACAATTTTTGTGTGACAAGTTTCTCACAACTTTGCCATGCGTTCTCCAATGTTCCCGTGACAGCACAGGAGATGCAGCTTGTGCGAGACATTCTCGCCCGCATGGAAGCTCAGGGAACTCCCATGCCTCCAGCTCTGTGGAGCTCAGGCCACCTTGGTGCGATGAGTGATGGCAGCAAGCGCTTGCGAGACCAGGATGATTTTCCATCTTCCGAAGATGAGCTGCTGGGCGAAAAGTGCGCTGGTCGAACCAGTGAGGACTTTGAGCTGATCCGAGATGCTCCCAAGTCAAGTGCCCAGAAGCCAGTGGTTCCCTAGATTCAGCCGCCGACCAAGCTGCAGCTTCCCGAAGGTGTGGAGTCAGTGGAGAAGTGGGGTGCAACAATTTGCGCCTTGCCAGAGGTGAAGGAGGAAGCTCCAACATACCATGAGATCGGCACCCTTAGCAAGTTCAAAGAATACCGCAACTAGGCGGTCCAGAAAGGAGCCTCAAAGGGTCCCCGCGGCAATGACCTGCACAATTATCTCATTGTCAGCGGAGCAGTTGATGCCGAGACCGGTGTGTTGATCCCTGGTACCAACCAGATGCGCCGCTATCGCCAGTGATCCCTTTCAAGATCTAGCTGCATGTGTTAGGTTGAGTGAAACCTTTGTCCTTCCCAATGCCGAGATGGTTTTTCACTGCAAATGTGGCAGTATAAACGGACTGTCCGTATGCGTCCTTTTTGTACTCCTTTGCGAGGAAAGAGGAGTTAAGAAGCAGTGCCATTCCATTGGGCCAGGTGCTACAGCAGCATGGACCGAATGCTGCAGCCGACTTGCTCATTCCAGGAGGAAAAAGCCGCAAGCAGGCTTTTGTGGGCACAGGGTTGCCACCTTTTCCATTAGGAGTTGGAAACCAGTTTATCCCTTTTAAATACATATATATATATATGCACATATCTACAATAACCAACTTGTGAAGTGCTAGTTATGTTCACCAAAGAAGCAATGCCGACCTGGCAGCACCGAACGTAAGGATGGCCAACTGGTTTTTTGGTCATTGAGAGAGATGAAATTGAGATGGTTTGGCTACAGGTTGATCAAGGGGACAGGTCTAAAAATGGAGATAGGCCGATACACCATGGGATGAGTTGGGGTACCCTGGGTTTTTTCCAAACACGTGGATCATTGAAGCTGCCCTCCACTACCGCTTCAAGGCCAGCAAGAGCAAATTCTGACAAAATCAGACCCTTCCCAATAGTTATATGTTATGGTATCATTTGTTCATAGATATCCGTCATCAAACGCATTGATGAAACTATTCCAGTATAAACATGTGTAAACCATTTTCTATGCGATTAAGATCGTGTCACCTACACTTGTGGGGAACTCTTCCACCTTTTTTTGAGTCATTGGTCAATGAAACCGATCCAATAAAACCAGCGATTTTTCAAATTTCAGCGCGTTCCGACTTTGACGAAACCTGCACTGGCCATCGCCATGTCATCCTTCCTGCTGCTGGCGCTGCTGCGCAGCGTCGGGGCAGAGACCTGCGCGCGCCACCCGCGCCACGGCGATGGATGGACAGGGATGAGTTTCAGACAAAGTGACATGTGTGTATGTGCATGTGTTATAAATGTTGTCATATATATATATATGCGCATATATGCATTTATAATACATGCATATATTTATAATTTGGCAATATTAGTAGAAACAACCAGCTACAAGTGCGGGAAGGGTATATCGAAGGTCATAACATCATCGAAAACAAATAACAAAAACTAGACGACGGATGGCCCGAGAGCGTAGAGGAGCAGGGTCTTCTCTTGTTAGTATGGAGACACCATATTAGAAACAATATATTAAAGATGTGTTACAGGCAGTCGAGAAGAGTAGTATTAAGACAAAATAGCAGAAGTGCAAGACAATAGTTTGCATCGCAAACACTTTACACTTTTAACAAAGACCCTTTTACACACAGGAGCTTTTACACACAGAAGCGTTTACACGCAGACGCTTTTACACACAAAAACTTTTACACACAGAAGCTTTTACACATAGACGCTTTGACACACAGACACTTTTACACACAAACACTTTTACATACAAACACTTTTACACACAAACACTTTTACACACAGACGCTTTTACACGCAGTAGCTTTTACACCCAGATGCTTTTACACACAGAAGCTTTTGCACACAAACGCTTTTACACACAGACGGTTTTACACACAAGCGCTTTTACACACAGACACTTTTACACACAGACGCTTTTACACGCACAGAAACTTGTACACACACCCACTTTTACACACAGGCGCTTTTACACACAGACAGTTTTACACACAGACGCTTTTGCACACAGACACTTTTACACACAGACGCTTTTACAGACAGACGCGTTTACACACAGACGCTTTTACACACAGACGCTTTTACACACAGCCGCTTTTACACACAGAAGATTTTACACAACAGAGTTTTTTACACACTGACGGCTTTACACACAGACGCGTTTACACACAGACGCTTTTACACACTAACACTTTTACACACAGACGCTTGTACACACAGACACTTTTACACACAGACGCTTTTACACACAGACGCTTTTACACACAGACGCCTTTACACACAGAAGCTTTTACACACAGACCCTTTTACACACAGACGCTTTTACACACAGACTCTTTTACACACAGACGCTTCGCAGAAGCTTTGTACACACAGACGCTTTTACACACAAACGCTTTTACACAGACGCTTTTACACACAAACACTTTTACACACAAACACTTTTACACACAGAGACTTTTACACACAGACGCTTTTACACACAGACGCTTTTACACACAGACCCTTTTACACACAGACGCTTTTACACACAGAGACTTTTACACAAAAAAGCTTTTACACACAGAAGCTTTTACACACAGAGGCTTTTACACACAGAAAATTTTACACAACAGACTCTGTTACACACTGACGGCTTTACACACAGACGCTTTTACACACAGACGCTTTTACACACAGACGCTTTTACACACAGGCGCTTTTACACACTAACACTTTTACACACAGACGCTTGTACACACAGACACTTTTACACACAGACGCTTTTACGCACAGACGCGTTTACACACAGACGCCTTTACACACAGAAGCTTTTCCACACAGACCCTTTTACACACAGACGCTTTTACACACAGACTCTTTTACACACAGACGCTTCGCAGAAGCTTTGTACACACAGACGCTTTTACACACAAACGCTTTTACACAGACGCTTTTACACACAAACACTTTTACACACAAACACTTTTACACACAGAGACTTTTACACACAGACGCTTTTACACACAGACGCTTTTACACACAGACCCTTTTACACACAGACGCTTTTACACACAGAGACTTTTACACAAAAAAGCTTTTACACACAGAAGCTTTTACACACAGAGGCTTTTACACACAGAAAATTTTACACAACAGACTCTGTTACACACTGACGGCTTTACACACAGACGCTTTTACACACAGAGGCTTTTACACACAGAAGATTTTACACACAGAAGCTTTTACACACAGATGCTTTAACACACAGAAGATTGTACACACAGAAGCTTTTACACAGACGCTTTTTACACAAACGCTTTTACACACAGAAGCTTTTACACACAGACACCTTTACACACAGAAACTTTTACACACAGACGCTTTGACACACAGACACTTTGACACAGAGCACACAGAAGCTTTTAAGCAGACGCGTTTACACAAACGCTTTTACACAGATGCTTTTACACACAGAAGCTTTCACACACAGCACACAGAAGCTTTGTACACAGAAAAAGTCGCAATTTTACCTCAGTTTTTGGCGATCGACCCTCATTTCGTGCGAAAGGGCTGCAACGGGAACCCGGAAATCGCAATTTTGCTTCAGTTTTTGGCGATCGACCCTCATTTCGTGCGAAAAGGTTGCAACGCGAACCCGGAAATCGCAATTTTACCTCAGTTTTTGACGATCGAACCTCGTTTCGTGCGAAAGGGTTGCGCGGGACCGGTGGAAATCGCAATTTTACCTCAGTTTTTGACGATCGAACCTCGTTTCGTGCGAAAGGGTTGCGCGGGACCGGTGGAAATCGCAATTTTGCTTCAGTTTTTGGCGATCGACCTTCATTTCGTGCGAAAAGGTTGCAACGCGAACCCGGAAATCGCAATTTTACCTCAGTTTTTGACGATCGAACCTCGTTTCGTGCGAAAGGGTTGCGCGGGACCGGTGGAAATCGCAATTTTGCTTCAGTTTTTGGCGATCGAACCTCGTTTCGTGCGAAAGGGTTGCGTTTCGTGCCGTCTCGTTGGCACTGCCCCTGCCCCCGCCTTCAGAAGAGACATAGAAAAGAAGGAGAGGGCAAGAGGGGCAAGAGGGGCAAGAGGGCAAGAGGGCAAGAGGGCAAGAGGAGAAGATGTGAGATGAGAAGATGTGAAGATGAGAAAATGTGAGAAGATGTGAGAAGATGTGAGAAGATGTGAGAAGATGTGAGAAGATGTGAGAAGATGTGAGAAGATGTGAGAAGATGTGAGAAGTTGTGAGAAGATGAGAGAAGATGTGAGAAGATGTGAGAAGATGTGAGAAGATGTGAGAAGATGTGAGAAGAGATGAGAAGATGTGAGAAGATGAGAAGATGTGAAGATGAGAAGATGTGAGAAGATGTGAAGATGAGAAGATGTGAGAAGATGTGAGAAGATGTGAGAAGATGTGAGAAGATGTGAGAAGATGTGAGAAGATGTGAGAAGATGAGAAGATGAGGAGAAGATGAGAAGATGAGGAGAAGATGAGAATATGAGGAGAAGATGTGAGGATGAGAAGATGTGAAGATGAGAAGATGTGAAGATGAGAAGATGTGAAGATGAGAAGATGTGAAGATGAGAAGGTGTTTTATACCCCCACTATTGGAAGAACCCTGCGCTCAGACGCTCTCGGGAAAAACATCACACACAGATGCTCATCAAGAACGGGTTGAACCATGTTGAACCGACGTGAGGCAAAAACAGAGTGGATCAGAGTGGCAACATGTGCACACTGAATACCCAGCAGCCTTATTCAAGCAGTCAAGCAAAACTCAATATCTGGTTGATTTAGTTACTCTTGTTTCACTGATGGCACAATCATCCTATATTTGGATTCGGGCGCTTGTGGTCGTGACAATTTTGTTGTTTTTGGTGAAGATGCTTTTGGCTGATCAAATTGATCCATTTGGCCATCGCGTCCACAGTGCACCGATGCAAGCTCAATCCCAACTGCAATCGCAGCATTCTTTTCCTTCAACGCCGCCTTCTTCTCCTTCAACTTCAACGCCGCCTTCTTCTCCTTCACCTGCTGATGCCTCAGTTGTTCGTGATTGCGAACATTTATTCGAAGAGGATTATTGTGATTTCAAGGTTGAACAAGGAAGAAAGTTTGATTGCAAGATGGAACAGCTA